AATGACAAATAACATTGCTCATGACTAAAGATGGAGTTTATTTTGCACTTAACTTGTGTTTATTATTAGCAAAGCAGTGGCTCACAACCCTAAAACGAAGAGGCAGCCACTTGAGACGCTTGTTTCCAAGTGTGGCTTCAATCAACAGAAGGAACTGATCATCATTTAAATGCAGGACTATCAGATATTACGTGAATGAAAAACAAAATTAAATCCAAATCTGAAAAAAATCAACACATTTGTCTTCCTTTGTTTAATTTCAGATGTATGCTGTCACCCATTTAGAAGGTCATCACCCCCAATGTGGAAACGACTGCTGCAAAGGACTGTGCCAAAGGTTTTGCAAATCTTAAAGTCTGACATAAAGTTAAAGACGTTCATTAGACTGACTTGCAACCAAAATAAGCTTTTATAGAGAAATTATATTAAAGATTAGTTGAATAATAAAATAGTTGAACATAAAATTAGTTCAGCTATTTAAAATCAATTTGTAAATACAACATTTTTAAGAAAAGTAATTTGAAAATCTCACATCAATTTTGTGAAATGCCTTTTTAAAATGCCAAAAAACCAAGAAAATATATGTGAATGACAATACTGGGTAGTTATCATAAAGATACCCATAACTAATGTTTACAATCTATGAGACCATTGCTCCCAGTAGTGCTGAGTAACACCATCTACTACTCCTCAAGAAGACAAAGAGCAGTATTATTTCAAATTAAATAATAATAATATTGGAACATTTTAGAAAAAAGTATGTCAAAGATACGAAAAAAAAAAATTAAACAATCTATAATTTACAAATATCACCAGAATATATACAATAAATTATTCTGCCTTTAAAAACAAGTTTTCATAATGAAAAATAAAAACAACTGAGACAGAAATATTACATAACTGTAAAGTATGTAAAAAAATATATATGTTCACATAATTTAGCATTTATTTATTTTAGATATTTTAATATGTGACTATTGACTGTCTGTTATATGACATATATTATAATACTATCTGTTAGCAAACACTTGTATAGAGTGGGTCCCATATTTTACATTGTCCTCCCCGTCAACATCCTGCAAAAACACCAAAGCCAACAATGAACCGATCCCACTGACAAGTCCTCTGTCCACAAACTATTAAAATCCATCCTGCCTCACTGGCTCATTTCTCTCTTCCTTACTGCAGGTTTATTTTGGGCAAACCCCACATACACCATCCCGCTGCTGGAAACAAACACTACATCACCAAATGTGTCAACTTTCAGTTTTTTGAGTGATTCTTTGCGTGGGATTTCTTAATGATAAAAATAATTCAGGATATCAGACGTAATCGTTTAAAGCTCAGTGTTAGTTAGTTAGTTAGTTAGTTATATAATAATAATTAACTATGATGAACAATTGAATAAATTAGGTTTTAAGGTTTTGCTGATACATTTTCCAGCAGCACACAAATAAGGGAAGTCGATGGCTAAAAATCTAAAACTGTAGCTGAAAATGGTTGGAAAAGATGTTGATAATTTTGAAAAAGTTATTAAAATATTTTAGTCAAATCTAAAAATAGCTAAAACTAAAAATAAGAGATATTGCCTATCAGCAGATTTAACTGTGTACTACAATTTCATAAAGTCTGAGGACTCAGGAGAGTGAAGCTTTGCCTGCAATATCTGTGTAGCGTCTGTGTTTCCCATAATTTAAACCAGTTAAACCCTCCTTGCTTTTCTTCCAAACCCCCTTGATGGAGGCTAAAAAAATATTTTAAATATATAAAGGGAAGTCAGTCAAAGCCTTGAGGAAAATCTGCAGTAAAAAAAAAATTCTTTGTGAAATATATATTAAATGCAGTGTTTCCATTCAGAGATACTGTATCTTTCAGTCACGTTCAGATGCTTTTATTTCATAGCCCAACTTTTCGTTTTACAGTTTGTCATGCAGCAGCCTCCCACCCCCTCCCCCCCAAACCCCATTTAACTGTCTGTTAATATAATTCCCAGATTCGGCATATGAGGCAGAATCCCTCAACAAGATAACGCTAACAGCATCGCTATGCACAAGTCCTTTAGGAAACGACTCTGATTGCCAGATGCAGCATATAGGCAGGCTGTTGGACAACTTAAATGCTATCTACTCTTGGCGAGGCTGTGATAAGGCGCAGGCGTCCGCTCTTTGAAACAGGAAGATAAACAACCCCCCCGTTCCCTCGGGAGCTCGGAGGATATTCTATGGGACTGGACCCCCGAACAGCCAACAAATTCCACCTTTAATAGAACTACCGGAGGAGCCAGATGACTCTGCGGTGGGCTGTACACAAAACCTTGTGAGGAAGAATGAAAGTGTGTGTCAGTTTTCATTTACCTGAATGCTGCGGCTGCTGCTGCGACTGCTGTGCGGGGAGGATTTGTGGGTACGACAGTTCTGGTTTAACAGAGGGAGAATGGAGAGCGGCCGGCCTGATGGCAGATGTGGGTTTCCACTTTTAAATCTTGCTTAGGTGCTGTGAGTTCAGCCGCAACATTAGAGCTGCTGCTTAACAGATAGCGATTTATCATTATTCTATTTTAATAAACAACAAAAAGATGGAATTTATTTTGCACTCATTTGCCTTTTTTTATCAAAGGTGTGGTTGTTGTGGTTCACCCTGCCTTAAAAGACTAGTTCCTAACCTTAAAACGAACCGGTCCCTACTTGTGATGCATATTTGAATTGTGAGCAGTTCAAGTCATCTCAGATTTAAATATTTTCTGTGATAAAAGGTAAAAGTATTGAGCATCAGAGAAAAGAAAAGCAAAGACCTGTTGGCCGGGTCACCAACCCAAGATTGGGGGGGAAAAAAGAAGATCAGGACTGTGATGTAATAATGTTAAAGTCCAGCAGAAAATTACAAGATGATCATGAGTGTTTTATATAAAGTTGTATTAGAGAACGTCCTTTTTAAAAAAGTTTGGAAAAGGGAGCCCTGCAGCTTTTTTTTTTTTTTTTTTAAATTTAAGGTATTAAAGTGATGCTCTTATGGAGAGAAGCTTAAAATATGAGCAGCTATTAAAGGGTTAGGGTTTGGCTGAAGGACATGTGGCTGTTGTAGGATCAGACCTGTGACTTTTCAGGTGTGAGACTAGTCTCTATAAAAGCTTATTTTTAATCTAATTTACAACTTTTAGACGCCATGAATCACAGACAATTCTAACATAAGACTCCCACCAGTTGGTTTATGAAATATCATCTTCCATTTAGAGCCACTTCTCTGTGTTTGACAGTAGACGGGAGAGTACTTTAAGAGTCCTTAGAGTGCTGATGCTGTCTTTGGATTATTTTCCAACTGGGCGCTTGTCGTCATAGTCATTTACAGTGAATTTAACTTGTCTCGTCTTGTGAGGTCCCCGCGCAGTTGAGCTGATGGACCAGCTGAGGGCATTTGACGCCCACTAAGAGTTTAGATCTGTTTTCTCTCAGTGATATCAAAGTGTTACCTGAGGGGGGTCAGAGATGATGACAAATCACAAAGTGTGTCAAGACATCACAGGCAGCTGTGGATGGAGCTGAGTCCTATCACTGCAGCACCGCTTTGAGAGGCCAGGGCACAATTATTACCATGACTTCTGAGGAGGATAAATACTGTACGCGGACAGACTGCGGGATTTTGTGGGAAGGGGGGGAGGGGTGGGGTGGGGGGCAGTTTGAAGAAGAAGGAGGGGGGGATCTAGCCACCAGTTTTCCAACTTACCCAGAGGAAAAATGCATAATCATATTATTTCACACACGACTTGGTTCAAAGGCGGCCAAAATAAGTTTGTGAGGTTCCCATGGGTCTGTCAATCTGTTGAAGGAGCTGCAGGCAAAAGCTTAGGATGCACCAAGTACGAAACAATTATGATCATCCCATTAAAGCATAGCGAAGCAATTTGGCAGCTCAGTCTGGAAAAAAACACACTCCTGTCAAGTGATGCTATGAGATCAACTCGCACTACCATGATGCTGTTGTACATATATCTCACATAGTTAATGATTGTTTGTCTTTACATCATGACAGGGTGGTGGGAATCCATGTTTGTTAATGTTGTTGCTTCTGAAATCGATGAATTGTTTTCCTTTAAAGCAGGAAGGGCTCCATAAAGCCAAAAAAAGTGGGAGGGGTGAAATGATTAGTGCGCTTAGTCAGCTGTGAAATTGAGTTTATGGTTTTCAAGACGGTGAATTCAATTCGATAATGGGTATTAAGTTGTAGAGAATAATTAATAGTAATTGACTTCTTTCCATCACTATGCAAATTAAACACAGATAACACCACGGGAGCTTTTTAAGGCCAGTCAAGTTTGTGGGGATTAAGTTTATGGAATTTTTGTTAGAGAGAGGAGTGGCTCCTGTTCTGCTTTGATTGCTTTGTTGACAGATTTATCAGCGGGTGAGGGGTTACTGTCTCTTCAAGGATTAAAGGAATTGGGTTGTCACAAACTGTCAAGGCATTGAGTTGGGAGCATTCTGGTATGTTTGCCATAATGGGCTCAGGCTGTTCCCCGCCGTACTGCCAAATATATTCTTATTGGACCACATCTGTAAATGGGAGGAAAAAAAAAAGGGGGGGAAATGCAAAGCGAGGATTGAATGAATAGTGCTGAGGGAGAAATATCCAGCGGGACTGTGTGCGGGTGGATTTGTCAAGATGCAGATTTGGATTTGCATAGTTTGTGTTTATGCTGAGATTGGTTAATTCATCTTGATGTTAATGAGTTAATGCATAGATATGTTAGAAAACGAATCATCCCGGGACTTAAAAACTGTACTATAAGGCACATCACATGTGTCTGAAATGACTACATTATTAGATTGGCCACACTATGAGACAGCAACGTGACCTCAAAATGATCAATTCCAGCTTGTTTGATGATTTAACTGAAACTCACTTGTAGAAATGTCTTTTTATGAAAACTGCAAACATTAATCACAGAGATATTACACAATGTGAGAATTTAAAAAAAGGTCAAATCAAAATAATATTTAACTCACCAGAGAGATGACTGACAGCAGCACGGCGGCAGTCCACAGACATGTGGTCTTCATGCCTCTTTGTGGAACGTCTCTCCTCATGTCAAACAGTCCTTGATTTTCTCAGCTGCTGCAAACAAACAAACAAATCTCCTTCTGATTGAGCCGTTATCAGCTGCCAAACTTGAGGAGAAATAAAGAGTGAAGAAGACGGTCCAGAGATGCGGGAGAAGAAAGGAGTCTTCTCCAGCTCATTCAGGAAGGGTCAGGTGTCTGCTGTTCAAACGCTTCAAGTGAGTACTGGGGTATTTTCTGACGCAGGGTTCGGAGGCGCTGTGGTGGGAACGGAGGTGTTTGTATATCTGAGTGTGGAGGGATGTTTTATATAGCGCGCTCTGAGGTTCAGAGAGAGAGAGAGAGTGGGGGGAGTGGATGGGAAGGGACAGAGAGAAAAAAGATGGAATGAAGAAGGGGGAGGGAGAGAGGAGACTGGGGGAGAAGAGAAGGAGGTTCACACTTCTGAGAAACAACTTTTAACATCATCAAGGGCTGACATCTAGTGGCAGTCAGCTGCACTGGATTTTTCTTCCTTTCACTGTGAGCAGCAAGCCCAGTGAGATTCAAGAACATAATCCCTCCTCTTGATGTGTTAATGTTGTGCATCCTCTACTCTGACCTGGAATCAAGCATGAAAAACTGCATTTTAACCCTTTGACGCCCAGCGTATTGTATTTGATACAAGTGTTTTTGTGAGTTTTTGAGACTTCTACATCATCAGTGTGACATTTTTTTTTTTACCCTCGTAAAATCATGACACATTTTTAATGACTAAACTGCAGTTTAAAATTTGATATATTTTTTATATATTTTCTCTTAAGGTTCAACAAATACTCCATTATCAAAAAATTAAAGATTTCTGGCAGTTATTTCATGATTCAGGTTTTAAAGGGTTAACACTGTTGGCGCTCCATAATGGTCAAAATACCAGCCACCTTTATGAACCAGGCATCCCTATGATCATGAAGAAATTATGTTAAATTACGCCTAGGTACTAAATAATGGTTTCCACACACAGTCATTGTAAATGTGCTGAGAATAAAACTAATAATATTAATCATTTAGTCTGAACTTGGAGAAAGTTTTGGACTTCAGATTAAAAAAAAAAAAAGACAAAAGCAGTTGAGATTGAAGCTGGAGAGGCTGAGATATCCTAAGTTTTAATCAGCAGGATGGGTCAGACTCTAAAATAATTAGATCCAGTAAAGCAGCTTGATACAATCTACAGCAGACGCTCTCTGTCCGGGAAATGCCAATATCTTTTAAACTCCACCCCCCCCAGTTTGTAGGAGAGGCTATCGGTCAAAAAGTCTTTCTTGCAGCCACAGATGACATCTGTTTGGACCCACAGTGAAACCTTATAGTTATTCCTACTACACAAGTTACGTTTAAACATTAACATGCTTGGATTGGAAATGTTTCCACTGGAAGTGGAGTGAAACAAACCCAGTCGGCAGACTTAAACCAAAATCATGCAGATATTTACAGAGTGCTGCAGAGGGCAGATAGGAATACAAAGGGAATTTCATACAATAATGCTAAAACTTTATTTAATTAAAAGCTTCTTAGCTTCTTGTTAAACCTAACCAAATTCTGTCCCCTGTTACTTACATTAAGATGAAGTGAAACCTTTCCCTCTGTTCACATGGGCACCTGAAATCTTACTGTAAGAGCACACAGAGCTATATTTGAATTTACATGATGGCCAAGCTGTCTGTATTGTGTCAAAGAGGTATCAGCTGAAGTTTGAGGCTTGGCTGTACTTTTGAGTAATACCACGTTTGACCTCAAGATGGTGCAGTGAGTCAGAGACTAAAGCATAACTAGTCAGGGTAGCTCCCAGTCTGAGACATACACTGCATTAGCTCAACATTTGTACAGAATTCCCGTCACTATTATACCTAGAAGATGATCAGAAACTGGTAAGTTAAAAATAAAATGAGCAAATACACATCGAAATACTAGAATAGTTGGAAGTAATTCGTAACTAAGTTAAATAAAGAAATAATTCAGATGTAAATAGGAGGAAAAATCTGCCATCTCGTGGTCAAAATCTTTCAGTTAATTTAGCAATTATAAAAAAAACAAAATAAAAAACAGCTGTTTCAATAATTTAAGCTACTTTTATAAAGACTGCACTTGTGGCTTGTGATGGTGTCATTTGTTGGAATTAATATGTATAAAGAAAACAGCAAATACAGCACTGTTGATTTTCAAAACTGTTAAAATGATGGGTAACGCTTTCCTTTAATATTTTGAGCAAATGCAGGACACTCTGTATTGCACCAAAAATGTATTAATAAGCAAAGAAAAGCCCAATTTACTCCCACTTGAGTAATGTTTGCAATTAGCTTAACATCCAGCTGTTAAAGAGAGTTACTGAGAGTTTTACACTAACAAATCATTTATGTGTCACCTGTTATTTCAGATTTATGTCGTCACTGAGTATGAACAGGGCTCAGTCTCATCTGACTGCAGCGGAGAAACAGGAAACTTGATTTAACCCGTCTCTGCAGTTGTTGATTTGGACCAGTTTTCTGCCTGATTGCACATTTTCTCCATTTAATGCTTCGTAACTAATATAATGTAGTTTCTCAGAGAACCATGGGAAATGAAAGAGGACGGCTATTAAATTTACAAGCGTAATTTCCATAATTACTTATCTCCATGAAAACATAACACACTGAATGCACATTTTAATTTAAATAAAAGTCTTAGGAACAAAGTAATAGATTTGAAATTGTAAAACTCTTTATTTACTTTTTTATTTCTGGGTTCTGACAGACCTAAGCTTGTGTTTGAGAAATTTCTGTAAGAGTTCATGCTGCAGAAAAACACTGTAATTTAGAAAGTGTGCACTTCTATCAAAAAATGCTCAGTTTAATATTAATCTTGTCAGAATCCAAAAATTACAAACGAATTAGACTGACTGCTAAGAATTTAACTAAAACGCACAAACATATTTTGTTTTTTGTTCAAGCCTCAGTTTCGTCCTTTTTTCTACAATTTTTACAGTCTGAACACAATGCACTATATACCATTGTTATTATCTATCTATTATCTTGGTTTACTCAAGCATCACTTTTGATCATGAAATTGTCAAGAAAAACAGTAAAATGTAGCTATTTGTCAAATAATACAAAATACTTATTGCTTTTAATGGACACAATCCCAGTGAGCTAGTTATGTGTAGTTCGGCCGCTCTGCATATACACAACTATTTGTTATATAAGATCTGATGGAATACAGAGAGTCATACCTCCTCTAAGTGTATTGTAATCCGACTGTCAAAAACAGATTACTGAGTGTTTTAATGTCTTGAGAGGGTAAAATATTTACCTACTTTATGTGCCCCCGTTTCCTTTCAGCTCAGTGTAAAGGTCTGTTGTGGTCTCTCTGCTCTCCTCTGTTCTGTTTATGTTCCTGCAACCTACATTCTAGCCACCAGGGGGCAGAATAAAGACATTGGTCCTATAGGAAAATGGCTCAGACCCCAGTTAACAATTCCCTGATGGGTTTATTGTCTCAGTCACTCATTTGAGGTCATGTTCAATAAAACCACAGGTGATCTAAAAGGTCAATGTAGTTGCCATGAAGTCTCTGCCATGAAGGTTTGTGAAGTCCCTGGATAAGATTTAAATAGTCGTCATGTTTTGGTCAGTATGACTACAGATATCTGTGTTTAAGGCCCTAATGCGTAGGCTTCACCTTCCAGACTCTGAAACATTCAGGGACTGTAGGGAAATTAGCCTGTATGGCTAAATCTGACACATGAATTTAAGAAGTTTTGTTAATTAATATGCATTATCCCTCTTAAATAAGTATAAACATAAACATACATTCATCTTTTACGCACACAAAGAGGAGCAGAGGAAAGGGGATAGGGTGAGATGACCCACTGTGGTGAGCCCTAACACAGCGACAGAGATCACAAACTTGGCAGGATAGTGGTCAGAGATCAAATCTGAGTGTTTTCCTACAGATTTCTATTGGACCTGAAGGCATTTTGCAAAACAGGTATCGCCCCCCAGTGACCATTAAAAAGAATGCTGGTTTGAGGTACTTGTGGAGTTTTCAGATCTAGAAGCTATGCCCGACTGAAACTAGAGTCTATAACAGCTGTTGAAACCAGTGAGTAAGTTTAAGGTGGCTACATCCATCTCTTTTGTACAGTTTATGCACTGAAGTGTGCTATTGCCATTAGAGTGCTAGCAAACAGGGGATGGCTGTGATGATGGCTCTCTAATACAAAATCCAGCCTCCAACTCCTTTAACGCCAGTTTTAAGTATTTTATTTGAAGGTTTTCTTCCTTAATGAACATATAAAGAAAGTAATAAAAAAAAGACTCCATAACTTTTCTCTTTGTGTGTTTACAACCGTGTCCGCATTTATTTTTAGTATTTCTTCCCATACATATAAACAACCTGTACAAAATGGCCGACTCTTCATCTTTTTCTTTTTCCGCTTCTTTTTGCTTTCCTTTTTTGTTTGTTTGTCACAACATACAACTTGCATCATGGTAACAACAATCAGCAATATCATACACCCACTTTGTAATATTCAAACTAAACGTTTTCTGTGCAATACAAAATAAATGTACACATACTTTGATTTTTTTTTCTCCAAAAAATAAAAAAATTGCTGTTATTTACAAATCCAACAAAAAGAAGTAAACATTCTCCACACCAGTTTTGCTTTTACGTTGAACTCAGAAGCGTGTTCTCTTATTATTAACATATTGTATACTTGTTTGTACAGATTGTTTTCTTTTTTATATTTCATCTTCGTTTCGTGTGACTGAAAACAATAGAGCACCTATAATACTTACTACATGAAAAAGTTTAAAAACTGGTTCGATCCATCTACCTAACCTCGAAAGAAAATTTCGTTGTTTTTTTTTTTTGTCTAAACGTACTCTAGTGTCGACGTTTGCCCCATTCAAGTATTAAACTGTATTAGAGGACTGTTAGTATTCAGTTATCGTCAGTAAGGCAGAAACGACATTTGCATGACATGAATGATTAAAATTTTGCAGTGTCCATTTTTTTATTACTTACTGCAAAATTTGAGTGTTTGCACATGATCTGTATGTAAAGAGTTAAAAAAAAGTATTTAAAAAAGAACTTGTAAAGCAGGCGATCAGTTAATACCTGCTGATATCGTAGTTGCATCTGGGCAGAAATAAAGTGATGACACCAGACGAAATCTACAAACCACAAAAGCGACTTTACTACAACCAAAAAGTCCGATGTTTGTGAGAAATAAAATCTATACATATATTTACTTGAGATTCACACCTGTTTTATCGAACGTGACACGTCTAAACGTCCCTTCCTGTCGCTGTTGCTTCCCTTGTAATGTTCTCGTGTTGACTGAAGCTGTTCCTCTGCTTTATGTTTTTGTTTTTTTGTCTGTGGAAGAGGCAGTGTTTTATGGCAATAGAAAGTAGAAGTCACATGTGCATATCATGCTGCACTAATATAGTGCAATGTAGTGCCTGAAACAAAGCAAGGGTGGAGGCAAGCAGGCAGGCAGGCAGTAGTTTCCATGAACAACTGATTGCAGGCTACTCCTCCATCAGCATCATACAGATCGGTTTATCCCACAAACACAGGCCTGTGTGCCTCTGAATCAAGCCGAAAAAAAAAGAGAGGGAGAAGTAATGCCTCCCTTTTGTTCAAGACCGTAAAAGAGATTTGAGTCAAAACCCAGTTG